CTAGGGAATTTTAGCGGGGTTTTTTAGGGGATTTTTAAGGACAATTTTAATGATCGGCCTGTTTAAATATTTCTTTTTAATTCGGCTTTTAATTATTGTATTTGTATTGTAGTTTTTATGAGGCTGTTAGCCGCCCTGAGTCCCATGAGGAGAAGGGCGGGGTATAAATTAAATTAATAAATAAATTAATAAATAAAATTTAAAATGAGTAAAACGAGCCAGGCTATATTATTACTTTGCAATAAAAACAGTATTAAAAAATATGGTCCTCCTAGAACTTAGAACATTCTATTTTGAGATTGATTCACTTTGTAAATGTGGCTCAAATAAAAAGTTGTTTTCAATGATATTCCTTTATTATTTGCATATTCACTTGGCATTACACAATGTTCCTATCCCAAAGGACTCTGAGCAGCTCACAGGCCTGCTTCCATTAGAAAGGTTAAAAAGAAATGTCATGATTTAATTACATTACAAATACAATAACCAAAGTGCTTAAAGACCTATCAGAAGGATAAATAAAGGTGGGCAGGATCCTATAACATTATGGGTTAATTTCTTTTTGGTTCTTTGAAAAAAAAATCATGCTTTAATGTATGCCCTAACAGGTCAGATAGTTGTATTGTTCCAGAGAATTTAACGGTTACAGCTACAGAACTAGCATTTGTTCATTTGAATTTTCATTTTTTTTCTCTATCTCTTTTACAGTTTTCAGTTATGAGTTCTTTTTTCCCCTAGCCCATATATATCATCATTCTACTTTCTCCACAGTCTCCGGGGAGCTTCACCAAACATTCATTGATTTCCCCTATAATTACCCAGAGAATCTTACTAATGTGGTTTTTTTCTCAACTCTTTCAGGAATTCTTAGGCACAGCAGCAAAGAATAGCTCAAGATTGAAAGAGTCTGTTAATTGTAGGATCAGAATGTTAGAGATGTAACAACCTTTTTTCTTAGAAAGAATATTTATTCTAATAAGTGAGAGTTTTTTCCCCTTATGTTTCATTCTTACAGATGGAACTGGTTCACATGTAGTGAAAAATGTTTTCTTGAAGAAGATGGAATTTTCCATGGTAGTGATGGCAATGTTGTCAATGTTACTGTCAGGAGCTACATGCCTTATTCTGCATACTAAAGCATGTTCTGTGGGGAAACTTCCCCTTATTAAGCACAAGTATTTTCTGCCAGGAGATTTCATAATGGCTGGGATACTATCTCAGTTCTACATGATATCTGATCCAGTTGGTTTCACAAGGCACCCATCTGAAGAACTGGTTGATGAGCTCATGTAAAGACTTTCTCTTCTTAACTATAGCATATCTTAAACCATATATCTTTCTCTAATAGGTTGCTTTGGCAAATAAATACACAAACACACTTATGACAACTCTCCCATTGGTGTTTTTATTCAAATTCCATAGTGAGATTTTCTTGTTTTCTTACTGTTAAATGAATCATTAGTGATGTACTATCAAAGTGTTGTATTATTTGTAGCTAAATCTATGTTAATCATTTAATTCTTTCACTTAATATTAGGGAACAGTTGCATGCTTTGAATTATTTTCCAAACAGCTGTTGAGCATGCATGGAACACAGACTTAGAGCCTCTCTGCCCTAATGAAACATCAAAGACTTTTTTTGGAATGAGGTCTATCATTGTCCCAGAAAAAAACATAATATATAAGATTTGTCCTCAAGTTTTCTCCAGACACACTTTTCATGCCTATATCCACCATAAAACATATCCAAGAAGAAAATAAAAATATAAGGCTAAATATACATATGGGTTTTAATATGATCATTTTTCTTCAAGCAATTTATTTGTTTCTAGTAAAAAATGTTTATGATGAATTAAAAGAATGATAACATCCTGCCTAGATCCACACAATATATCTTTCGTTGCAGATTTTTCCTGCAGAACTATCAACATATCATGGCCTTGGTTTTTGCTGTAAAGGAGATAAATGAAAATAAACATATATTATCCAACATGAGTTTGGGTGCTGACATCTCTAATAGTTATTTCATGGCAAGATGGACTTACTTGGCTTCAATGGAGCTTCTCTCAACACGTGGCAGATTCATCCCCAACTATAAGTGTGATGCCAAGGACTGGGCAGTATCTGCTATTGCAGGACCTAACTCTCACATCTGTCCCTTCATGGCAAACATCTTGAATGTCTACAAGATGCCCCAGGTGAGATTTTTTTTCTTGGATTAAGTATACACTGTAAGAATAACCTTGAAAGGCAGGAGGAATAATGGCAGTCCTATAAAAAAAAGTCTGATAAAAGAAATTTGAGACTAAACCAGAAGTGTTCTTTGAGAAAGCATCTCAGGATTGACACCCACTCCTCCCCAATTCTCTGGAAAATTAAGGCAGGGGAAGGGAAAGTGTTTTCCTACTTGCAAGGTTAATGTCATGCCTTCCAGATTGTCTAGGGTAGGAAACCAAAATCACACATACTAATAATTCTTTTATTGTAAGGTTACAATAACAGAGTCTTGCAAATCTTAAACTACCTCCCATTTTTTTCTTTTACAAAGTAATGTTTACAAAAATACAACAAATAAACCAACTTTTCTTTTTATTACTTTTTTGTGGTTTGGAAATAAAGTGGTAATCCAAACAATGATGAACAACATACCATGTGTTTGCAGAAGAGATAGATAATTTTAGGTACTTTACTTGATTTATTCTTCCATCTGAATCTATGATGAATGTCAGTTCTGGTAGACTGTCTAGACTAGAAAACGAAATCATGAATACTAATAGTTACATTATTTTAAGTTACAATAATCTTGTAACCCTCACCTTTTTTACTTTTATAAAGCCATGTTTAGAAAACAACAAATAATCATTTCTTTCCTTGAGTATTATATTTTGTGATGTGGAATTAAAATGGAAGTCCAAACTATGTGTTTGCAGATGAGATGGATATTTTTTTCATACTTTACTTGTTTTATTCCTCAATCTGAATCATCTGAACAATTAATACACAATGATTTTTTGACATTTATAAATACATTGAGGAGAAATGTCAATATATTGTCATACATCCATTTTCCTACATGCTTTAGTAAAAATATTAAGAATTCATGGACCTGATTGAGTAATAGTTATCTTGATCTTTGTATTGCACACTGGTCTTCCTTCCTTCCTTCCTTCCTTCCTTCCTTCCCTCCCTCCCTCCCTCCCTCCCTCCCCCCTCACAACCTCTCTCCTTCCCTCCTTCCTGTCTATAAATGTTATTCATGGTAATTCAAATAAATTAAAAAATGAGGTTATGTAGTATAAATGAATGAAAGCTGCACATAAAATTACATAAAATGCTCTATATATGAGTTAAGGTTAATTCCCTTATACCACATACAAGCAATTCTTGCTGTTATTTACTAACATTTACTAAACACAGGGTACTGTGATATTATAAGAATTTCTCCTCCTCCTCCTCCTCCTCCTCCTCCTTCTAAGATCAGGATAATCAATGGATTAATAAATCCTAAGTAGACGTGGTCAGTTCCATCAGCCAGAATATGTTATCAGGATTTCTATGGCAAATTGAATGTGGTAGAATTGTAGATGTTTGATGCCTAAAATTATTGACTTAAGTTTCTTTAAACATAAGACAGTACTTTTGCTTTTCCCAAATTCTGAAATTGGGGAAAGTATCCAAAGATTTATCACTAGTTGCTTTTCAGATCACACATTGTTGGTTGCTGGGGAGCTGCATATTTGTTAGAAATATTAGAAATAAGGAAGGAAAGTACTTAACGTGTAGTGTACTTGTTTCTGGAATTCAGACACTACACAATGGAAAATAAGAGGAAGATACATTACCAAAATATGAAATAACTGAAATGAAAAGGAGGAAACTAATTCATTGTGCTCTTCCAGTTCTTGTTAGATTGCAACGTATACAGTATCCATCTTTACATGCATATTTGTATGAGGATGCCTCCATATGTATCTATATGTTCATATGTATCCATGTGAGGATGCCTCATTTGGTTGGCACAGCAACCAAACAGGACAGGTACAGACCCCAATGGATAGATAGGACTGCAGAAAAAAAAACATTTCAATCAGCCTGCCTTTCATTGAGGACCTGTATACTGAATGAGCCAGAAAGAGGACTGAGAAAATATCTACAGACCCTTCACATCCGGGACATAAACTATTTCAACTTCTCCCCTTAGGACGCTGCTATAGAGCACTGCATGCCAAAACAACCAGACACAAAGATTTTTTTCCCCCTTGCCATCACTCTGCTAAACACGTAATGCCCACAGTACTGCTTTATCCCTAAAGATACTTACCCATGAAGTAGGGCTGTATTACTTCTCATCTTTCTTAATACCTTCTGCTATTGGTATCTTATGATTTATCACTTGTTTGTATCTTATGATTTATGATCTACGATCTATCACTTTGTTGTTTGTATGTAGACTGAGAGCTTATGCACTGGAGACAATTTCCTTTTGTATCCAATCACATGTGGCCAATAAAAAAAATAAAGAATAAAGATTATGATAAGAATATGTAAAGCTAGAGGAGGGTTGTAATGTATATTGAGCCAAAACCATATTCTTATATTGCTCATCCTATTTTATTTTCATACCATCCTGACTTCATTGCTTCAATTTTTCTTCCATTTCCTATGAGGAAAAGACTAGTGAAATGTGAGGATAGATTTCCTATCTTAAGCAGAACCAGTCACATTTAACTCTTAAAATTTGTGATCCATTTTCCATATAACATTTCCTGAATTCATTCTGGGGGCTCCAACTTTGCGTTTCTACTACAATAACAGCTGTTGAATGAAAATCCTTTCTGAACATGATTACATTTATATTAATATTTGTAACAAAGACTGTAAATTAAGGACAGATTTTTTTAAAAAATAATCAATATTTTATTCTGGAAAATTGTGCTCCTTTTTTCTCCTATGTCTAGCTCACATATGGATCTTCCCCATTGATAGATGACAAGATACAAGGTGCTTTCTTTCATCGTTTTTTCCCAAATGCTGATCAACAGATTATGGGTATTCTCCAGTTGCTATTGTATTTTAGATGGATATGGATTGGACTGATTTCTCAACCTGATAAAAGTGGAGAAAGATTCTTACAAAATGCTGTTCCTTTGTTTTTGCAGAAAGGTATCTGCTTTGACTTTATGGAAGAGATGGCCAAGGAAACATTTTCTAATGATATTGCAGGGGCATTTAAAGAGTTTAGTAAAATGTATATTATCATCATGAAGAGCACTGCCAATGTTATCATCCTATATTGTGAAAACCAGGTCACTGTCATTTTTAGAATGTTGCCCTATTTTACAGAATTTGAAGAGATACCCATTGCGAGAAAAGATAAAGTTTGGATAATGCCAGCCCAGATGGAGTTTACATCCCTTCCGTTTCAGAAAACTAGGCATATGGAATTTTTCCATGGAGTTATAACTTTTTCAATTTCTTCCAAGGAGATTTCTGGATTCAATAAATTCCTTCAGATGAGAAACCCAACTTCAGAAGTGGAAGACCATTTAATGAGAGTGTTCTGGGAAGAGGCTTTTGAATGTTCTTTTCCTAAAGATAAGTTAGATAAAGAAACTGGAATGCTATGCACTGGAGAAGAGAAGTTGAAGAATCTACCTAAGTCTGTGTTTGACACCACCCTGACTGGGCAGAGTTATAGCATCTATAATGCAGTCTATGCTGTGAGACACGCTTTACAAGCCATGTTTTCCCCCAAACACAGAACAAGGGGAGAAGTTGGGAGAGAAACATTTTTGACTCATAAAGCATGGCAGGTAAAAGAATGAATGAACATTTCCCACTGCTCTTCTGTTTGATGCAATGAGCTGTTATGTAATGTAGTCAATGAGAACATTGGAGTGTTCTCATTGACTGCATTAGTGATAATTTTCAGTCTCCAGCCAAAACATTTTCCTCATCATTTTGTGAGATATTTTTTTTGTAATTGTGAATAGATAAAATGCTTCAACAATAGGGGAGAAAAGATTTAGATGCAGCAGCACTGACATGATTGGCAGAGGTTCAAAATGTCTGTGGCAGAGAAGAAATATGAATAGATGTGGAGGAACAATAATTGTATTAATGAATCTATTCATATAAAATCAATATCCCTAACTGAATTCTTTCTTCTTCCTTCCTTCCTTCCTTCCTTCCTTCCTTCCTTCCTTCCTTCCTTCCTTCCTTCCTTCCTTCCTTCCTTCCTTCCTTCCTTCCTTCCTTCTTTTTCCATTAATTGTCATTCTTTGTTTCTGTTTAGCTCAATCACTATTTGAGAACCATTTCATTTAATAACACAGTAGGACAGAAACTCTCCTTTAATGAAAATGGGGATCTAGAGACTGGATTTGACATTATCAACTGGGTCACCTTCCCAAACCACACATTTGCTAAAGTCAAAGTTGGAAAAATTGACCCAACAGCTTCTCCAGATAAGCTGTTCACCATTTCTGCACAAGACATCATCTGGCCTGCCATGTTTAACCAGGTATTCCCTGCTCAGATTTCAACCTGTGTTCAGGTAGTCCTCGACTTATGACCACAATTGAGCCCAAAAATTCTGTTGTTAAGTGAGACATTTATTAAGTGAGTTTTGCCCCACTTTATGACCTATCTTGCTACAGTCGTTAAGTGAATCACTGCAATTGATAAGTTAGTAACCCAGTTGTTAAGTTGAAAACCACAAAGATGAAGACATGATGGATGGATAGCATTCAGCAGTAGAATGATGAACTGATGCTTTTAAACAAAATGAATCAATCAAGGAATAATGAAATGCTGAATAAACAGATCAAAACTGTACTGGATGGATGGATGGATGGATGGATGGATGGATGGATGGATGGATGGATGGATGTTCTGTCAAGTCCCCCTTTAGGCCCAAGAATTATAAAACTTTAGAATTATAAAACTGTTGCTTCTATTTTAATTATTTTTCTTATCAGTCCTTGAAAGATAAAGGAAAATAATTGGTGCTTACTTTCCTGGCATGGATGGGGAAAAAGAAATGGGGAATCCCATGTCAATGATCATGTTAACCCTGGTTCAGATAGAACACCTGGCCATTGCTGAGGTCAAAGGAGAGAAAGGAATTGAAATTCAGGGAAAAAAATATTTCCAACTGCCATTCATGTAGCCAAATGATGCTATCTTCCTGTGTCCAGTTCTTAGTTTTCTTGCCTTTGGTTTTGATTCTAACTCTCGTTCCCTGTAGCATTTCCATTCATTTACTATAATTGCTTTTAAAGATAAGGAGATAGTGGGACACCCAAACCCAAAAGTTATTATTTAAAAGTAAATTCCACACCTAAATAGAATATTTTGAAAGAAAACTTACAAGTTGGAGTAAATTCTGCTTTCATTTCTTGATAGGTTCAACCTCTTTCTTTGTGCAATGACAGTTGCTGTGCAGGCTACAGGAAGATGAAAATAGAGGGGAAGCCTTTTTGTTGTTATGATTGCCTTCCATGTGCAAAAGGGAAAATTTCAAATCAGATGGGTAAGAGTTGTGTTGTGCAAGAATATTCAGTCTTCTTAACTGTAATTCAAAATGCTAATATTTAAACCTCCTACAACTGGCTAATTTGGTGACCAAATCAATGATATTGCTATATAAATACTAAAAGTGAAAAGATATTTCAGAGCATCCAAAAATAAATATCCAATATTTTTTCCCCAAATTATGACTTCTGATTAATGCTGAAACTTTCTTTTGTAAGATGACAGATCTTGTGTTGATATGTGTGTGTAAAAGAGGAAAAGGATAAAACTGGGATCCATTTGCTGATTTTAGGAGTGTAATTCCTAAAACAAAATACCATGAACTACACATTTTCCCCTTCCTTCGAAAACTAAGCCATTTTTGTTTTTCACTTTGTTCAGGAAATATCTGAATGATAAAAGATTGTTAACCAAATCATTATTAGATTTTATAATAAGACAGTTCTTAACAACAAAACAATAAGAACTTTCAGAAGATCTGGCATTTTTACAAAAAAGACACTGAATATAAACAAGCATTACTTAATTAGGAATAAATGAACATCTTCTAAAGAGGTACATCTGGCAGGACTGAGAAGAAGGGCCTTCTCTGTGTATCTCCTTCCCTCTGGAACATCATCTCCACATAAATTGGACTGCCCCCCCACTTGGACACTCTTTTGCAAGGCCTTAAACACCTGATTCTGCCAACTGATCTGGGGAATCCAGGGTGGAATGGAGTCCATCAAATGGCTCATTTGATTATTTGTTGTGGCCAGGGTGATGTGGATTACTCTTTTTTATTCATTTATATTAGGCTTTTTATTATTTGTAAGCTGCCCAGTGTCACTGGGAATGAGTGACTTGCCATATATTTTTAAAAAATAAATAAATAAATCCCAATAATTAACTCTCAATCCTGCTATCTAGTATTTCTAGACATTGTCATCATGTTTTCTTTTTCCAGATGCAGTTGATTGCTTCCAATGTTCAAACGATCAATATCCAAACAATGCTCAAAATCTTTGCATTCAAAAAAAAGTAACATTCTTGTCTTACAATGAGCCACTGGGAGTCACCTTGACCACTGTTAGTCTGTCCTTTTCTGTCATCACAATTTTGGTGCTGGGAATCTTCATTAAAAAGCAAGAAACTCCGGTCGTCAAAGCCAACAACAGGAACCTCACTTACACCCTCCTCATTGCCCTTCTGCTCTCCTTTCTTTGCACTTTCCTTTTTATTGGGAAACCTGATCAAGTGAAATGTCTCATGCAACAAACTACCTTCAGCATAATTTTCTCTATAGCCCTTTCCTGTATTTTGGGTAAAACAACTATAGTTGTTCTTGCTTTCATGGCCACAAAGCCAGATTCAAAACTGAGGAAATGGGTGGGGAAAAAGATGGCTATTTCTATTGTCCTTTCTTGTTCCCTGTCCCAATTCACAATCTGCTTAGTGTGGCTGGCAATTTCTCCCCCATTCCCAGATTCTGATATGCACTCTATGGCTGAGGAAATTGTCTTACAATGTAATGCAGGTTCAACCACAATGTTTTATACCATTCTTTGTTTTCTGGGATTATTGACTGCTGTTAGCTTCTCAATAGCCTTCCTAGCTAGGAAGTTACCTGACAGCTTTAATGAAACCAAATTTATCACCTTCAGTATGTTGGTCTTTTGTAGTGTCTGGATTTCATTTGTTCCAACCTATCTGAGCACCAAGGGGAAATACATGGTGGCTGTGGAGATCTTCTCCATTTTGGCTTCTACAGCTGGATTACTGGGCTGCATATTTTTCCCCAAATGCTACATCATTATTTTGAGACCTGATTTGAACACAAAGGGATGTTTAATAAAGAAGTAGTTCTGAAAATAATAATTTGATCATTATTCATTTCAATTTTCCCCCTATTCTAGCACAAAATGTAGGTATCATTACATGCTGGGATTTGTTGAATCTGGAATCTGTACAATAAATATAACCATCTTCATCATGTCTACACAATCTTTTATCAAATATATCTGACACATAGTAAGGACGAAAATTTATATTAGTGGACTTTAACCAGGAAAGGACTAAAATGTTCTATCAAGTGACTCTAACTCTGATTCCCTTAGGGACAATTGTTACTAAGAGGGACAGTTAAAAACTTCCATAATTAACTTGATTGGTTTAGGATCTTTGTTCTCATAGAAATCCTAATATACAATATTTGTTTGCCCCTAACATTGCATTCTGAAGAGGCAAAATTTACAATTTTTTCCTTTTGTTCTTCTGATTGGCAGATACTTTTCAAGTCATTTGTTGACCTAGATGAGGGCTTTTCAACCTTTTTGCCCATTGTACCACTTTTAGGATAAGGCAATAATTGAGTACCACCAATTGCCTAGCAAAGTGTCAAAAAAGAAAGGGAAAAAATGATAAAGTACAGGTCATCCTCGACTTACAACAATTTGCTTAGTGACTATTCAAAGTTATAACGGCATTGAAAAAAGTGACTTATGACCATTTTTCACACTTATGATTGTTGCAGCATCTCCAGAGTCATGTGTTTTATATTCGGATGCTTGGCAACTGATTCATACTTATGATGGTCACAGTGTCCCAGGGTCATGTGATCACCTTTTGCAACTTTTTCACAAGCGAAGTCAATGACCGGGGGAGTGTGGCCAGCTCATCACTCAGATTGTGGGGTGCCTGTGGGGTGTGTGGGCGGGGATGTGGGGGGGATCCATGGATCTCTGGTGGAGGACGATGGGACAGGTGTGGGCACCTTCCTTCCCTCCCTCTCTCCCTCCCATTGTCCCTTCCTTCCTTCCCTCCCTCTTTGTCCCTTCCTTCCCTCCCTCCCATTGTCCCTTCCTTCCTTCATTCCTTCCTTCCCTCCTCTTTGTCCCTTCCTCCTTCCCTCCCTCCCTTCCATTATCCCTCCCTCCCTCTCATTGTCCTTCTCTTCCCTTTTTTCCTTCCTTCCTTCCTTCCTTCCTTCCTTCCTTCCTTCCTTCTTTCCTTCCCTCCCTCTTTGTCCATTTCTTCCCTCCTCCCCTCTGTGCCCAGGAAGGGACAAGGAGAGGGGAACAGGCTGCCAGCGTGGCTGGTGGCTGTGCTGCTGGTGGCCATGGCTTGAAAGGCCACTATAAATTACTGGACAAGAGCCTCACAGCGTTAAGAGCAGAGTAGCGGGAAGATATTTGTAATGAGGGAGGGGAAAAAACAGGCATCCCCTGAAAGAGACCAGCAAACAGTCCTCGCCATCATCACACACCTGTGGACTCCAGGGGAGGGGACGCTGCAAGCGGCATGAGAGTCCACGTTACCTGCGCTATGCTGCCCAGATTCCAGCCTGGTTTCAGCAGGCAGTGGTGCATTTTTCTCACCACATGGAGCGACCAGGCAAGGCGAACTGGCGACATGCCGAACCTGCCTGTGCGTCCGCAGAGGCAGAGGTAGAGGAGACTGCATGCACCTCAGCCTCTGCACACACACAGGCAGGTTTGGCATGTCACCAGTTCACCTCGCCCGGCTGCTCCACGGAGTGAGGAGAATGTGCCACTGCCTGCCAAAACCAGGCTGGGGTCTGGGTTGCATAGTGCAGGTAATGTGGCCATTTTACTAACGTCAGAAGGATGGAAGGCTGAGTCAACCTTGAGCAGGTCAGGATTGAACTCCTGGAAGTTGGCAGAGTTAGCCTGCAATACTGCATTCTGACCACTGTGCTAACATGGGTCTTATTCTGTATTCTGACTGGCGGGGCCCAGGAAGGGAGCCTTCTCTGCCATTGCCTCTACCTTGTGGAACACTCTCCCCCCATAAGTGAGGTGAATCCCACCACTGTCCTGGCCTTCCACAAAGGCATGAAAACATAGCTCAGTGACCTAGCTTGGGGTGTATACAGAAGCATGCAGCTATGGAGGTAGGTAGTGCCCTGAAAGCCTTTTCCCCACCTTTTAATTGGTTTTTAATATTGCTTGTCACTTTTATATATTGTTTTTAAATTTTCAATATTTTATTTGTATACCACCAAGAGTCCCTCAGTTAGGGAGATGGGTGGTTTTAGAATTTGATAAATCAATACTTATGATTTAATTTCCAAACACCCGAATTGTGATCGTATGACCATGGAGATATGACAATGAGTGCAACAACAATGACCTGTCAGAAGTACTCCTTATTCAGCACCATCATAATTTCAAATGATCATTTGGATAGTGGACACTAAATGAGACAACCTATAAATAATTAAATATTTATTGATATTGCAGTTGTTAAAATGTCAAGAGATAAATGGATGCAATTGCAGCTCAGTGTTCTCACGAAACTTTCTAAGTTGTGGCATGTACCTTTTGATTATGAATTAATAATTATATGCAGTAAATGAATATAAGGAAATAAGCCATTCTTTTTATTCTGCATTTTAAAAAGTGTTGAAAAAATGGATCTCACTGATTACAAAATTTTTCTTTCCTCAATTTCTAAACTGGGATCAACTGGGGATTAAGTTTCAATAGTATTTACAAACATTTCTGGGGAAATTACAGACATAAGATTCTCTTGCTATTTCAAACAAAAGGTTATTTTCTATTCAGTGTCTCTGGAAGGAGTCATGGTTATCTCTCCTATAATTACCAAAAAAACACTTTATTAATTAAATTCCTTCTGAAATCTCTATGGAGCTTCAGGGAACATAGCATAACAATGAAATATGATTGAAGGGAGAGAATAACGTTTCTTGTCCATTCATGGATGGGATGAAACAGACAGAGCTGTAACAACCCACTTCTTCAAACTCCACATTCTAAGTTCAAATCAAGCAAGTAAAAGAAGCTATTGCACTTCAGTGAGGCTTATATTTTTCAGAAGGAAATTCAGATTTCTTATAAAATATGTTACTGTTCATGTCACTGATGATATTACTACCAGATGTGGTATGCCATATTCCTGCTACTGCTAGCTGTGTGGTGGGCAAGCCTAATCTTCTTAAGCATAATTATTACCATAAAGGAGATCTCATCATTGCTGGCATTATTTCTCAATTCTACATGATTTCTAATGCAGTGGATTTTAGAAGGCATCCATCTGAAGAACTAGTTGATGACCTCATGTATACTGCTCTTAAGCGTAACATATAATAAAACAAATACCTTTCTTTACTTTCATGACTTAAATGTTTAACTTTATTTAAAGTGGGAACTTCCAACTGATGGAAATCCTACCTTCCAATTGCATTACAGTAATAGTTATCATATATAAATGCATTATAGTATAGTATCATCAATATCATTAATACCAATAATATTCAGTATTGTTGATTGATCCAACCTTCTTGTGTGTATTTAGATGTCCATATGTACTTCCTGTCTTAAACAAATATAAAGCAAAACCTATAAAGTCAAGTGACTAAACTAATTCCTTTTATTTCTAGAAATGATGAAAGTCTATGGTTCACTTTTTAATTTATATACTGTAGAATGAATTCCCAATAACGCATTCCTGATCACTCTTTGCAATTAATGAAAAATCAGTGTTTTGGTTTTGAATTCCTTTTCATGGATATTAAAGAAAATATATCTCTGTGTGCATTTTGGTTTCAAGTCTTAGAAGGTCCTTTAACCTGTGCAGAGGATAAATTATTTCTTGAACCTGTTTAAAGTAGCCACATCCCCCCGCCCCAGGATTGCATATCTGCTTTCTGCAGTTGTGATCCTGGCAAATTGTGCAGTGGCTTTACAATTACATATTTACAGAAAAAAGTGGAGAAAGAAGATGTAGAAAGTAGGACTAGAAATAGTTCTAATAACACAAGCAAAATGTAATACCAATCATGAATAATCCATTTGGTAATTCATCCATTCTTTAGTGAAAGATGTTTGTTCTTTCTCATAGAAAATATATATTTCATGCTTTAGGTTATTTTAAAATATATTTGAAAGAAGAAAACTCAGTTCCAGATGCTACAAAAAAGATCAGATTGGTTTTCATGCTAAAATTTTATGCATGCATAATTCTCATTGCAGGTTTTTTCTTCAAAACTACCAACACACCCTGGCTTTGATGTTTGCTGTAAACGAGATTAATGAAAACCCTCAGCTCTTATTCAACATGACTCTGGGCATTCACATCACTAACAGCAATTTCATGGCAAAATGGACCTATTTTGCTTCACTGGAGCTACTGTCCACACAGGGCAAATTCATCCCTAATTATAAGTGTGATATCCAGGAGAAGACAATATCTGTTATAGCAGGACCTAATGCAAACATCTGTCCATTTATGCCAAATATTCTGAATATATACAAGATGCCACAAGTAAGAATTACTTATGAATAAATGTCTTTTTTCACAATGTTTAATATCCATGGTTGGTTAACTTTTTATTAGGTTTCCATTTTTATTAGGTTTGATGATGTCAAACCACCTATAGAGCTGTATTACTATTATCCTTCTCATTTTTTCTATTACGTATTTCCTTAGCTTTTTATGACTATACCTTTGTTGTTTGTATTTCATGATTTATGTTGATTGCTTTTCTTTGTACCCTATTGTGATTTATGTTGATTATTTAGTATCCTATGACTATCATTCAATGTTGTATCTTATGATTTATGATGATTGCATTTTATGATTATGAACATGATTTATTGCTTCTTGCTTGTATGAATACTGAGAGCTTATGCACCGGAGACAAATTTCTTGTGTGTGCAATCACACTTGGCCAATAAAGAATTGTATTCTATGATCTTTTCTGATTTGAATTTTGCATACAAATTGACCATCTGAGCAAAATAAAACAGTAGGCATTAGTTGTGTAATGTGTGCCTAAATCTGAAACTTGATCAACATTATGTATTGCCACCAATACATAA